ATATATTTGAGTAAAATTATTATTTTTAGATTCTAAATGTAGCCATATAAAATATGTTTAAGCAGGACTGATTTCATATAGGTACATTTAAAAATTAAATATTGACGAAATTCATCAAAATAACGAAAATGTGTAAATTACTTTTCAGTTAGAAATTCATAAAAGTTTTTCTTATCGTACCTAACATTGACCATTGTAAAAGAAGTTAAAGGTTATCTAAATTTGAAAAAAATATATCCAATTATTATCCATGGTTATTTTCGGTTTAATTTTTTTTTTTAATTATTAAATTTCAATTTGCATACAAGTACTCTAGGACGATACAGCGTCTCCACTAAAAATCGTTTTTCATATGCAACGATTCATCGTTAGAATTACTTATTAAATATAACTCATCCATTACAATGATATGGTCGATAACTAAATACTGCGCAACAGAGCGACACCCACTTGTCCAGCTTTTTTATATTATATTAAAAAAACTAAAACATGCTTTGACGTCTGAGGTCATTAAAATATAATTTTTACATATTAGTTTTAATTCAACGAGGATAAATTATTTTGAACGGTTGAGGGAATTTGTAATATTAAAATTTGTTTTACTGAAATTTGGTGAAGTCTTTGTTTATGAAAAATGTGTAGGTATTTTTTTTTAGTTTTCCTCTTCGAGTATTTTTGAATTATTATAGAATAGTATTCGAGTCTCCGAAATAGATAGGAAACAAGAAAAAGTGTATACGTATAAGCTAATTAAAACAATACTTTTGTGGAGTTCCGGAAATTTGTGTTATTGCTGTAATAATAATTATCTGTTGAAGGTCAACCGAGAATTTTATCGTAGGTATCTAATCTTTGAAATACAGCGATGTACTCTTGACAAATCCTAATCATACCCACACCTTTATTCGGTTGTTTTGGTGAACGTCTGTATCGATCATCCTTATACACCCACTAGTTGAAAATATGTTTCATTACAATTTGATGTCTGAAAATTATACGTTTAAACATGAAATTTACATACCTCGTGACTGCATAAAATCCCGAGGATAAATTGTATTGTTAGTATTCTATTCTTAATATTATTCCATAAAAGGTCATTTTTTATATTCTCAATTATTATTTTAAAATCATTGTTACCGAATAACTCTACTATCATTTTTACAAATCATCACAACATAATATTATGACGTGCACAATATCTGATCATAATGAATATAGTAGAAATGTAACTGTTTTCAACGGACATATTATATAAACACGGCAATTGGATTTTTTTATTTTTGAATAAAACAATTTTTATAATATGTTTTAACATTACATTTTTATCATTTAAAAAATGTATTATTTACTATAATATTGTCTAGGACATTAGCTTTGATGGCTTATTGTCTATAAATTGTTTAGTTAAAAAAAGAAACTATGGATAAAATATTGTCTAATTAAATGGATACAACAGATAATGTTGAATATAATGTATCCACTATACAATATGACTTTTCTAATCAAAATATGAAATGGTAATTCTTTAATAGGAAAAATACTATAACACTTTGTGTTAACAATAATTAAAAAACATTAGGCGCGTAATTAAATTACTCAGTTGGTCGCGATAGCACATCAACGCACTATTGAGTCATTGTGTTTTTTTTCTTTTTAAAAAGACGAGGGATACATTGAAATTCGATGAAATATTATAAAAAATTAATAATAAAAGTAATTCGTCCACGATGAAAATATAGGTACTAGTTTTCACGCTGAAGGTAATCAAGATGATGTGAATGATAAATATACCATACTTCACGATGCATAAAATGTGTTCAAATGTGTACTATAAATTATAAATAAAAAAAATAGTCAAAACAATTATGTATGCATTAATTAAGGTTATCAATATGGCTTTTTTTTAAATTATACTAAAGAGTAAAAAATATTAAATAATAAAGGCTTTAATTTTTTATAGTATGTAATGTATACATAACTATGTTTTAATTAACATTTTCTATAAATGTTGGTCTCGTATTGTACATTCTGCTTGTAAACAATTTTTATACATGTAATAGATCTGTGGTTATCGTTGGTTAGAATTCATTAAATGGTTTTTATAGAAAACATACTATTCTATCATTTATTTGTCTATTGCAATGGCAAATGCGCTTATATTAAAAAAAAAAATTACAGCGAGACTGATAAAGCCATATACCTAAATATGTAAATCTAAAATTTAAAAGGAAGTTGGGTTTTTGTGGGGTAGGGGCGCACAGTAGTGTACTGGCCAATTTCCAGCAATACTAGTGTATCTATAACTTTAACCAGTATTTCTCACCCTCATATCTCTGTTTATTTCTTTAGATGGGTTTTTAAAATTTGAAACAAAATAAGCTTAGGACATTTTACAAATTTTAGTCGTATTAGGCTTTTTTCAAAATTAGATCACCCTAAAATTTGATTTTTCGTTTCTAACTGAATGATCGATCATCAAAATTATAAAGTATACTTCTCATATATAAGTGGAAACATGAAATATGTTATGTGTAGGTCTTATACAACAAGTAAAGGAAAAATATACTTGGTAGTAATGTGGACATCCCCACTTTGATAAGCAGTCATTATTGGAAGAATATTTTTGTGACTGGGAATTGGCTTTCTCAGGGTTATGTCTTTGTGGATTATTAACACTTTTACGTCATATTATTGCTATATAATAATAACAATTTAGTATCGTTTGCATATTATTATAATAATATTTTCCTCGTTATTATCATACTAATGTGTATCTATAGGTCAAATTATTCTAACATCGCTAACAGACACCATGTATCTCACACTGTAATCACAAACTTAAAAATAATTTCCAAGTCGTCTTGGTTAAATTTTTTCTCCTCTCAAATATAAGTTATACATTGGATATAGTACTTAGGTATGTCAATATAATATATGAGACCGGGGCCAACCGACGGATCGTTTTTATATATTTCTGTTTTCTAATTTCAGACAAATTTCTTCTCTATAATATTATACGACCATAGTATATAATACACGTCTCACAAGTATATGTATAATAGAAATACGTATATTGTATAACTACTATACAGGTACGCGTTGTACGATCGCGGCATTATCACCGGAGATACCGATACCTAAGTGGTTTTCTCGGATGGCTTTCCAATAACCTCAGACAATAAAGCGAATTTTTCCATTCATCCCATCTCTCTCAGTTCATCATTACATTATGGGTCCAGAGCGGTGGTCCATTGTCAAATAACGTGACCTGGTGTTTTCGTATTTATTTATTTATTTATTATATTTTACTATATTATTATTAGGTACCTAGGTATTATTATTTTTTTCCAATCATAAATATAGTACCATATCTTATCCTGGTGTCAATTTTCTCAAGTTCTCAACCCAACATTATTATAATGTACACCAGTACCTAGTTGAAATATGATATTATAAACAATATTAAACTGATATTATATCCACGTTTTGAATTGTTGAAATTAAAAATGCTTCAAAATATAGATCACTTTTACTCGGTAATCGATATTACATGTAATGTTATAATATATGTATCCATTGAAGGCATCTAAATTCATTACCAAAGCCTTACTGACGGTTCTCTAACATATTACATTATATACAACTATAATAATTTAAATACTAATATATTTCGTACTATTGAAATAATAAAACATGAATACTTTTATCTGGCCGTGCAGACATTAATTATTGTCATCATCGGATCAAAAATCAGACACACCAATCTAATCACATCTCACATAATTAACCATGAAAATCAACCCAACTGCAGTATTCAACTCAACAAACTTCGCAAGATCAAACGTAGTATTGTTCTGCATTGTCCAAAATTATTCACGTCGAAGCACAAATTAATCTTAAACCGCCCATATCCGATAGAATAAAAACACCCAATTCTTCACCTCTTTTTTTTCTTTTGTTTTTCAAAGCTGTAAGTATTGATACCTAAAATTTTTATTAAAATATCGATTATAACTATTTGTAAAAAGTATAAATAAAATGCACAGGAAGTATATGTTTTAGTATTGGGAAATCAAGAGGCTCCAATTCAAAACGTAATACAGATATTCTGGTTCAGTTTTTTTAAATGTAATATATTATGACTAATAACAATGGTTTAAAAAAAAAATCAAAAAAGTTCAAAATCTTTTTTGATTTTTGTAGTTATTTAAATTTATAATTTGGAAGAAAAGATAATCATTTTGAATGGTTGGCTGTCCAAAGTTCCTCTTAAAAGACAAATTGATATTCTAAACCATAATTTTTTAGCCGCTTAGAAATAATATATCGACCTCGGCGCGCCGATTGAGCATCAAAAAACTTGTTGGAACACAACCTACAACGAACACGCACACCAGATCCTATTCTTTAGTGAACCCCGACACACAGTGTACAGTTTGAAATGGGAAATCTACACAACGGATTTAAGAACTGTGTACTAATAAATAACTAATAAGGTATCTATCTACTAACTTATTATCAATATCACCAAAGTACAAAAAAATATACTATTCACTGATTACCGTGATTGAAATAAATACATAGATACAAACTCAAAATAATAAGATATTTAATCTTATGCTATTGTATTTTTTAATTATAAGTTAATTGCTTACATCATTAAAAAAATATTAAAATCAGTATTTTATTGATTTTTCTTTCTACATTCTATGTCCACCATTAAGTGTCTATTGTACAAGAACCACTCATATCTTTTAACGTTTTACTGGGTTCTACTGATTTAATTGACCTTTTTTTTTTTGTGATTTAATTGACCTTAACCTTATAGTAATTTTGACTTTCCCATTTAACTATTTTCTTCACATCTAGTCCAACTATTCCAAGGTCAACAGGACTTATAAAATAGCTGCTGTTCTTATTGGCTTTTTTTATTTCTGCCATTTATTAAATTTTATTATTTTGTTTAGTAATTTTGTATAATTTACACTGAACACGTCATAATGAAGGAACAATCGTCAAAGGCAAAATATCTCAAAGTGGATAATATTCTTCACAACAGCGTTGGGAGTCAGATCAGTTTGGAAAAGTATGATGAGTACGATTAGAAAGAAGAACCATCGACCAATCATTTTTAAAAATAACGTCCAATACTTTTTTATAATATTATAATAAAAGCACATACACACACACACACACACACACACACACTTACATTTACACTTACATTTACACTTACACTGCACCTAGACCTTTGATATGGTCGATATAGGTACTCAATGTGAAGGAAGGTTCTGTTATAAAATGTATAATTAATTTTTCAGGTACCCATATACTTAAAGAGGGGTTTTTTTTCACAATGTCTGTGTTCGAAATAATAGGAACAAAAAAAATACATCCCGGACGTTTTTAACTATGAAATTTTCCAGTACACTCATTTCTGCATTATGTTCACTGAACACAATAAAAACGAACAAATGTTTTGAGGTCAAATTAATTTACAGTAACAGCTACACTGCTACAGCTATTTCATGGGTCTTAAATACTCAGCGTAGTTCAACGAATTTGCATGATGTTTTATGTCTCTCGATTTTAATTGCATCTATAATTATATAATTGTGATGTTTCGCAGGGAATAAACATGGATTTAGTAAGGTTGGCGTTAACTACTCAACAGTCAACACTAATAACGATATTATATCTATTTTATGTACAATATCTACTAATACTAGTTACACAACAAGCCTGACCTGATCATGATGAACTTTGCCAATGATGTCCAATTGATCATTCCCGAGTACTCATATTTTTTGATATATTTTATCTTTTGTTAACTGCATTATTTTTTATATCATTAAATATTAAAAAGCCCTTGGCTGAAACTAGCAGTTTTTATAGCACATTAAACAATCTTTCGAGATTGCTTTTACTTATTTTAATATTATATATTTTTTATAACTTTACTTCAGGAAGTATAATGACAATAGTTTTTTTTTTTAAATTATAAACTATGAAGTATTAGCTTACATTTGGTTTAAGATTGGCTTAATATTATATTAAATTGTACATTTCAATTTTTTTTTTCAAGTATATAATTACTTTATATTATATTATTACATTGTTGCTTTCATACTGTGTAGGTGGATAGATACATGCGATTTGTACTAGTGGATAATTTTCCCAAAATAATTATCAAACTACCTACGCTTTTTGATCGTGCAAGGTATTTATCAGTTTAAAAATGCAATACAGGATCCTAAATACGTGAAATTAATTTTAATCAGTTAAACAACCATGGTCCGAGTGTTCGGAGAACCCTTTGAGAACAATATGATTAATCAACGAGGTAAAAACCCCCTGGGGATTTATGGTTCATTTTCAAAATTTAGGGTTCCCGAGTTGGTGGACTATACAACGTGGTAGGTATTATTATTAATATTATTATGATCGAGAGTTCCCTTCACTGATTCCTGAGTAAACCCTGATAAACCTAACTAGCAATGAATACATCACTTACTTAATAAAAATAAAATGTTCCTCGTGAAGTGAAATTTGTGTTGAAATATATGATAATGACTAGTAAGCAGTGAACTTTACTTAATTATTCTTTGGCTATTGATGAAAGTATCGATGTAATCGACAAGTTGCTATTTTTGTTAGAGGTATTGATAATGAATTTAAACTATCTGAAAAAATGACTTCTTTAGTACCACTGAAAGACACTACAAAATATCGTGATTTGTTCGAGGCAGTAGAAACTACACTGAATAAATTGTCTTTAAACTTGGTCAATATATCAGGTATAGCTACGAATGGTGCCCATGCTATGGTAGGTAAAAAAGGACTTACAAAATTAGTAAAATACCATACGGTTTTAGTTGGGAACAAAGGTTACCACTGCACTGTTCATCAGGAAAATGTATGTGCGGAAGCTTTGAAAATGGATAACATCATGCAAATTGTCATCAAATAATATGTTACATTATTCGAGCTAGGGGACTAAATCATCGTAAATTTCAAGACTACGTTAAAATCAAGTAAGCAGATTCTGGAGACGTTTACTTTTCAGGAGTAAAGTGGCTTAGTCGAGGTAAAATGCTCAAAAGATTTTATGATTTCTGAAATGAAATAAAGTCGTTCATGGAGTCAAAAGGAAAACCTGTCATAGAGTTTGAACATGAAAACTGGCTTATGGATTTAGCTTTTTTAGTTGACATAACTACTCATTTAAATGAGCTAAACGTACGTCTTCATTTCTTCAAGGTAAAAATCAACTCATTAGTTATATGTTTCAAATAATAACTGCCTTTGAACTAAAACTTAAATTATGGCAAAGTCAAGTTAAGGTGAATAATTTCATGTATTTCCCTATGTTTCCAAATACAATCCCAAGAATATCGATAATATGCTTCTTTGATTTAATTTTAATTAATAAATTTGAAACCCATTTTCAAGATTTTCGTAAGAATAGTCAACTCTTTGTTATTTTCGCAACGCCGTTTTCAGTTGATATTACTGCAGTGGAAACTAAATTTCAAATGGAATGCATTGAGTTGCAATCAGATATTCAACTCAAAGAAAAGTTTAATCAGTTATCTTTATTAGATTTTTATAGATTATATCTACCTAAAGAAACATATCCATTCCTTCATGACCATGCCTTATTTATGTTCTCGATTTTCAGCAGTACCTACATTTGCGAACAATTGTTTTCAAGAATGAAAAACACAAGGAGTAAGAATCGGTCCACTATATTAGACAAGCACTTTAAAAGTTGTTTAAGCATTGCCACAACTTCAATCGATCCAGATATTGATTCATTATTGTCACAAAAAAAGCAATTTAAAATTCCTCATTAAATATAACTAATGACTTTTAACTTTTTTAAACTAAAATTTTTTTATTATTATAAATAAATATATTTTTCTGTGTATTTATGATTAAATATTAATACTTGTAAAAATATTTCTGCTTATTATTCGCTACTGTAAAATTATAAAAAAATGTATTGTTGTATTATAGAATATAATTTAATCATTAAATTTGAATGTATTATTATTAAAAAAAAGTATGTGGCCCACAAAAACCTCTACCTATATGATGTGGCCCAGTCTTCACAAAAGTTTGGACACCCCTGCAGTAAAGCATTGTTCAACTTAGCTGAAATAGCTAGGATTCAAATACATACAAACTAAAAAAAAAACACTGGAGCACTGTGGCCCAAAGTGTTCTGCTGGTAATAATATGTAACACAAGGTGACAACCCAAAAATAATATATACAAGTTGTTGTATACGCCTATTGCTTCGAGGTACACAATAAACGAACAAATAATATTAGAAATACATTTAATAAACACTGGTGTCTGGTGTGGTGATCGAAACACACGATCACCACCACTAACCCCCATTTGCCTAGTACTATGACTTATATATTATCACTTAACCTAGTTTTTGTTTTGCTACATCTGCTAAAGCTGACTGACAAAGACTTAATACTAACTATAGTCCAATATACATGCTTACTTAACCTAGTTAATATTTTTCTAATTAATAATTTGTATATGTATGCATGATACAACAAAGTATACCCATGATATATAAATACCTATCTCTAATGACTCTAAAAACGAAAATATTTTTACTGGGTCGGCGAAGGCTCAAATAATTCAAAAATATATGGATTTTGCTTGATAAAATATATGCTTATTTGAAAATTCCAAATAAATATTTAACAGTTTGGGTTCACCCAGTGTAGTAGTATACAAAGGTTTTTTAAAATATGTATTATGATGACTATGGATTTGCACGGTTTCGATTCAGGATTGATCCACGTAAAATCCTACATATACACAGACCTAGGGGAATACTCACCCGCCCAGCCAAGTTCTTATTTTCACCAACATTTCTAATTTATCAGTAATCAGTATCGACTGGAGTCAAATACAACTATATAAATAAGACCGATTGGATTTGAACATTTTCAAAAATTCAGATTATTTTATCCATCATTTTGTAGGTATTTTATTTAAATCTGGTAAACAGTGACTACAATAGTTTGGATTGAGAGAAAAAACTAAAAAGTATTATATTTTTGAAATTGCGTTCATTTAAAAATATCTATATTTGGATAATATTATGTTATAAACAAGTAAGAAAAATTCACTCTGCAACCTCGCTAAATTCCAGGTTCGTAAAAGTATTTAAATTCTACGCAATAAACTATGGTTCCAGGTACAATTTCATGTACAATAATTACAGAATAATAGCTAAAATAAACCTTAAAATTGTTCTAAATCATGTTTAGAATCCTAAAACCAATAAAATATTAAATAGTATTGTTTAATTTCACGAATCTTATAATGCAAAATAAATTATTTTTTCTTAATAATTCATGTACACTTAATAGTGACTAGCAATAATTAAAAAAAATATATATATATATATATACATTGGTTTAACAATTGATTTTTATGTAATTAAAAAGTGTAACGCATTGCACTTCTATTTGTAAACTCAACAACTTAATTTAATAATTATGATACCATAAAACATACGATTAGTACATGACTAGTATAGAAAATATATTATATAATAAGCATAGATCAATATTCTATGTAACATTTGTATCATCAAGATTTTAATTATGTTCTACTCCAAATCAAAATTAATTAACATAATAGTATATTCGTGGCCTTTGAAGGCTAGCCTATAGTAATGAGTATTTAGTGAGATTAATGGCGATCGTCCGACAGTACAGTTAGTTTGACAGTAGTCTTTTTATAAAACGTTTCGATAAATTAAATGAGCTACTATCCACCTAAAGCGTCTTCGTACTTACCACTAGTACTCAAATCTGCTTAGTATACTAAAAATCAGCTGCACATAACCTTTTTACATTAAAAAATACACATAGGTACCACATGAATATATTTGTTTATGTCAAGCCTTATTGATGAGTATATGAGTAATTGACCTACAAAGGATAGAACATGTACATTTCAATAAAATTTATAATTATTTAGCATTTCATGATTTATAGTTGGTACACTAAACAGTAAGTATAAGATATTTTCAACTAGTGTGATTACTGATTGTGATATTGATTTTTTTTCGGACTGCATAGCGAGCAGAAGCCCGACTTAAGTGTGATTTCTTCTGTTGACTGTATGGCTGTTTCACATTATTAATGCATTGTAATACTATGTACACGTCTGTCGAACGGATTTTGTATAAGAGTTAGTTTTGACATCATGATATGATACTATAATGTTGTAAAATATATGATCACCGTGGTCGTGCTAAAATAGCAAGTGAATTTTTACAATATATTCTATAACATACTCATAGGTTAAAATATTTAAAAGAACATACAATTGTTAGATTTTCATAAATTATACAAGATAATGTATTATGTTGTAGCAGTTGATAATAATAATAATTGAGACCATAATAACGGTGACGCACCTAACCTAACCTAGTTATCTAACCACTGTTTTTACACAGATGCAGTGAGGTAGCAACTTTGTACACCTTTTGTAAGTGGGCAATGAGTAATTACTAATAACTGTTATTAAAAAAATAAAACGGGAACGCGTCGAAATGACGGATTACAACCCGAAGAAATACGTTGAAAATTAACCCATAAATAAACTATTATTGTTATTATTAGTGTATTATTTTCTCGTTTGGTTTACAATAATCGATTTAAATGTCATAAAAACAAACAAAATACGACTTAATGTAAAAATAATATTAATAGTGGGTACTACAGAGCTTAAAAAAATTCTCTTAAAAATTGTTTTCAATACAATGATTGAACGAATATCTATTTGAGTAGCACCAATATTGTTCGCTTCTGTAATGGTGAAATGTTTGCAAAATGAAATGGTTAATAAAAAGTACGAAAATGTACTCAAAGTTTAAAAAATGCCTTCAAAATTCCAAAAGAAATAAAACAGAAAAAATCCATAAGAAGTGAATGAAAATGTATTATTATATTTACTGCGGTCTGCGGGTCACGTGAAACTCATATATATCATAATAATATTTAGTGCCGCGAACAATATTAATTCCAGAGATCATCATCGTTATCGAATGGCGTTACGTAAATATCATTATTTCGTGTATTTAGGCTCATGAGGTACACACCACCAAATATAATTCCGTTTCATAGCGGTGCGGCGCGAAGCGTTCGCAATCCGTTCGGAGAGGTATAAATAAAAAGTTCTTCGTTTCTCTTGCTTCTGGATTATTTTTCGCCCACCGTGACGCCGCCAAAGCCGAGGGGAGTTGCGTTGTTTCTCTCATAGGCAACTTCTTTACACACACACACACACACACACACGCCCACACACACGCGCGCAGTGTTATTACTGTATAACTTTATTTCCCTACAGATTTCGGGTCGGGAAAACTGTAGTTCTTTTTTTTATTATTATTATTATTGTTTTTTTTTTATCGCCACGCGAGAGACCAAACCAATGGCACATGAATGGTGGGGGGGGGGGGGGTGTACGAAAACTTCCATTCATCAGCCGGACCGCTCCGGGGCTCGGCTAGCGTGTATTTCTCCTTGGGCCCGTCGTGAATATTGCATGATTTGGACGATGAGCCACACGTTTTTCGCTGTGGCCCGATTTCCGTGCAAAGTAAATATTTATAAACCGCCACGACACACTTCACGGTGGCATTTTTCGTCGGCGCACTTTCCGTAATATTATAAAAATGATATAATATGCGTAATAACCGCACGCGGGTGCAATTGTTCGTTCGGCGAAACGTATAATACGTACAGTAATAACTAATAAGTGTCGTACAAAGATAACAACGCAAACGTTATCCAGACAACATGACTGTAGATAATTCATTCGAGTTTTAACTGGGCAATTTATAGAATAGATGACGCCTACAATATTTATCTAAAATCAAGATTCCAGATGATAGATACATTTTAAAATTTAAAAGGCCGTCAT